CGTTACGCTAATATGAAGAACATATTGTGTAACATTTCGGTCGATCATCCAATCAGATTTAAAGCCCGCTATGCTCTGCACGCGTTATTATCCTATCTCCATATATAAATAACATTTAATCAAAGGCATTGGTTTTGCCTTGAAATAAGGTTTCGGAATCCACGAAACCAAAATGGAGATTTTTGCTACGTACATACGTACGTACGTATATTGATCCGTAATACATAACTTTCATCCCGTCGGATCTCTTGGAGCTTGCTAAAGTGGGTTAATTCAATATCTTGATCTACATATTGCATAAATTATGTAATAAAGCATGGTCGGGAAATAGTGACGAACCAAGCATAACCACAAAGAACACCTACATATTGTGTTTATATTATATGCAAAAAAATTAAATCGATAAAAAAAATTTTATAATTACTAGTATACTACATAGCATGCCTTACATACTGTAACCGTTGATTAGGAGAACTAATAAGATAATATAGCTAATTTTAAGTAAGCGAATGGGTAATGTATAACTGTTAAATGACTATTTGAACGATATGATGCTATCGAACGAATACTTTGATATCAATAGGTGATGATGATGGAGTGATGCAATGACGGGTGATGCTGTTAAGGGTGATAATAAAGCGGTGATTTTAAGGACGGTGATTATGATTTAGTGATATTTTATTAAGGCGATGCTGTAAAAACGGACGATGATCAAGTGATACCAGTGATCACTTTAAATTCACGTTATTGATTAACCGAGTCCAGTAACCGATCGTAAGTCGCGTTCTCTACTAATGTGAATAGCAATGTTTGATTCCACGAGTACACCAGAATTCGAGTCTTAATAAGCCAAATCGAATTTACAAGTCAATTCAGTCCGTCAAATTGAGTCTCGAATGGGTTATTAATGTTACAAGTCGAATTCAAAAGATAAAGTCTCAAGGGAAATTCAGATAAGTAAACACCTTTTATTTATTGGTTATTTGAAGATTGACATGTACTTATTTATTTATTGGTTATTTGTAAGTGGACACTTACTTTGCCCTTTATTGAATTCAAGACACTTATATACATTTTATTTTTCTAGAACGTTTACGCGAATTCGCTTTAACTTGGACGTATACGCTCTTTTTTGGTCGTATACGCTTGAATTTGAGCGCACACGCTCAAGGTACAGGGATCTACAAATTTGTGTAAGCACGTATATGCGATATTTTGAGCGTATACGCGCTTGCATGACATAAGCCACCAAGCCACAATCAACTACCATTTTAGTATACTTGATTAAAATATTTACACGAATCGATTTGCTATCAAAATGGAATTGAAAAGAAGTATATACATAAAATAATAACAATAATAAAGACTATACTAACAAAATATTAATAATAATAGAGAAAAAGAACAAAAAAGAAATTTTGATTTATTAAAATACCCGTGCTTGAAAGTAAAATAAATAGATTATTTAGTATCTGATTATCCGTCGAGGTTTCTTGGAGGCTAGCAAGGAGCCAGATATTAGACAAGTTCCTAATTACTATAGTACTTTTTGTCCCCAAAAAAAATCATTGGTAAAGTCTAATCGTTCAATAAAAAGCTTATATGACTTAGTAATCGAATAAGCGACCTTTTTTTAAAATTATTTAGCTGTTAAGACCAGTTTGGATTGTTCTCGAGACCAGTGACTGGATAAACATCTGACCACATGAATTACATAAATTAAAATTGATCAATCAGATTAATAAACTTATCAATCAGATTCGTTCAATATTTGTAAAATATATAACCAAGTAATAATAAGAAGTACTTAGGTCATTTAAATAATAAAATATATCGGAAAGTTGAATGGAATGCTGCAGAGCTAGAAAAATTTGAAGATGTAAGAATGCCAGTATGATTGATTAGAAATTACATCTAAAGCTAGTAGGTTAATGTATATTCTATGCAGTGTCTGAAATTCAATTTTTAATTTAGTTGCGGGCCGCAACTAAATAAAAAACTTGCGGATTTTATGTATTTAGTTGCGCATGTGAATGTATTTATATGCAAATTCGAACATATCGATATGCAAATTCACAAAATTTATTTGCGGAACCAGTATATACATTTCAGATTTTAGTTGCGGAAACTTATAAATCATTTGCGGTCCGCAACCCAATTTCAGACACTGATTCTATGCCTATCACAAGAAAATTGCAATAAACAAATAACTGTTTATTAATTTACTGATGCAATTATTATAATGAGCTAGAAGGAAAATCAAGAAAATCGCAAAAGAATCTAAACAATTTGAGTGTCAGAGAGCGAAAACCTATAGGTAAATATTTGACCCTCAAATATTGTACGATTTTGACCAATTAAATTTCAAGATCAGCCTGAGGTTGAAATTTGATTTGAGGGTCAAATATTTACTTACAGGTTTGCGCTCTCTGCCACTCATTTAATCGTTATAACTTTGTATAAAAACGGTTGTAATAAAATTTATAGCTTAGTATTATATTCATATATTGTATTTACGTATATGGCACATGACCTTGATGAAAAAGTATCTTTTCACAATGAAGAAATGGCTTAAAAATATCGAATCAAATTTTGTACTAATTAAAGGAAAAGCTTCTAAGAATACGTTTCGTGTCGTTTCTCAGATTTTTGCTACCATCTTGATTATAACAAATTTTTATGACAGTAGAATAATTATTATATAGCGATTTTTTCAAAAACATGAATGGATGGTATTCTTAAATATTATGGATCAGCAAATATCAAATAGCTGTTCTACTTTATTATGGGTTGACCCTGAATATTTTATGCTAGACATTTAGTAATTTGTAATAGGATCTATTATAGTTTTAGTCCTTCGAGCTCGATCTATTTCTCTTTGGTTATTATAAGTTTCGAGTACTCGAGCAAAACCTTACAATTAAGAAAATTATGACAAATGAATTCCGTAAGTACATGACAATAAAGGAACTATTTTTTTATATTTTACTATCACCAATATCGACTTTTTATGACCTAAAATGTAAATATTAAAAAATAATTAGATAACAAAAATTATTTTATTATATCAAATATATTATAAAATATTTTGAAAAATTAAAATTAGGATTTTATAAAGTTGAATTATTTTAGTATGAATATGTGTAAATATTTTAATGTGTCCATTTTAGAACGCCATTATATTAAATAGGTGATAGAATATAAATTGGTTCATTAACACTTAATCGGGTTTGCCCTGGAGAATCTGATTTTGAGATTAACTTTTAGATCATATTTTAATTATTTATTTTTTAAAGAGCTTCAAATTTATGTAATTTCTTCGTAATAACTTTGATAACCAAACACATCGAAGTAACTGGAATGAATTACCAGTCCGATAAAGAAAATTGATATACAAAATTAATAAATGTAAAAAGCAGTTGCATAAGTTTTGGTTAGTCACTCAAAAAATCTTGATAACTTACTTGTCTATTATCAAAACAGAGTTAATGATTTCTGCTGTAACTTTTTTGTTTCCTAATATTAGATGTCAAAATGTGAAATTAGGGTCATGCCACCCAATGGTACTCATCTAGACTCAATATTTTGTGCTTTTCACACAATAACTCTTACAAACCATATACTATGTGATTTCATTACGCTATTTTGGTACAAATTAGTGTGAATAATTTATCAAACTATTAGTATATAAATATTTATTTTAAATAAAAAATAAAAGCAAAAAAAAGATAACTATATAATAAAAAAATATAAGAAGCTATATAATAAAAAATTATATCTGCAGAATTACAAAAGCATCTATATAATAAAAAAATGATATCTACAGAATTACAAAAGCACCTATATGATAGCTAAAATAATTTTTTTTTATAATATTATATTGTAAATTTACTATTTAAAATTATTATATATAAATTGCTTATCAAAAGATTTATTATTCTGATTCTTCTTTTTCATTAAGCTCAATCAGTTTATTAATTTTATCTAATGGATCTTTTAGTATTTCATTTATTTTACTTGCTATCATTTTATCTATTTGATTTTTTAATTCATCATTTATTTTATCTGCTACTGTTTCATCTATTTGATTTTTTAATATTTTATTTATTTGATTTTCAAATGATTCATTTTCAAATACTTCATTTATTTGATTTTTAAATGATTTATGATCAAATACTTCATTTATTTGAATATTTAATTTTTCTTCAGAATCTTTTTCTGTATTAGTAATTTTCAAAATTTTAGAATCCAAACTTTTTTTATCCTCAATACTTTCTATATAGTTTTTAAGCTCTTTGACTGAAACTTTGTAATATCTAAAAATTTATAGGATAAATTAACACAGTATAATTTAAAAATATAGATAAATAAAAATTAATTACAAAATTTCTGGAAACCAATTCTTCTTCCTTTTTTGATGAAGTAACATCCAAAAAAGTTCGATTTCACATAATACCTAATAATATTAATTGGATTAATTATTTGTATCACTAACTAGTAATGATAAGTAAAATTTACTGCTGCTTTTGTTTTTAAATATGTTTCTTCACGAGCTTTTGTTTCCATAGTCATTGAAAGTAATGATATAAACAAATTCAACAAATAAATTGTTGTAAAAAATAAAAATACAACTAATAAACATGCCAATATCCAATTATTTTGTATTTCCCAGGAAGAAACAGAACTTGTATCACCTAAAAAATAAACATATATAATAAAATAAGTAGATTAAGTTTTTACAATATTTGATTAATAAATTATATATTATATAAATACCAGTTAACATAAAATATACTGCTAAAAAAGATATACTAAATTTTGCAAAAAAATTTGTGTTATCATCGGGGGTTTTAATATTACTAGCAGGTCTTAATAAAAGATGTAAAGAATGAGCAAAAACAAAAACTGTAAGACATAAAAAGACAAAAAAAAACAAAAAAATTTGTTTTGCAACTTCAATTATAATTGCAAAGTATAATCCTAAACTATCTAGAGCACAAAAAAATAAAACAAGTTTAATTTCAAGAAAAAAGATAACAATAGTTATAAGATTGACTGATAAAGTTTTATTGTATAGCCACATTATTGAGGAAACAGTTGAAAGTAATATTACAGCAATATCTATAAATTATTATTATTAAAATTAAATTATAAATAAAATTTTATATTTAATTAAATAATTATTTAATACTGTACAGTACATACCAAACCAATTCCAGGGACTAGCAAAGTAAGATATTGGCATATGAATAAACACACGTAATTTATTAATAAAAAGAATAAGTCCAAAAAAAATAGTTGCAACCAAAAGAATTATTTGATTATTCCAGGAAATTTTATGCTCTGGAATTGTTGAAACAATCAAAAACAAAACATAAAAATCGAATATATTGCCCATAACATAAAATAATAAAGTCTTCCATAGGTGTTTCACTTGAAGTTGATAAATGCTTTAATATTCCACAATTTATAATAATCAGGTGTATACAGTAGTGAGGTAAAAGGATTTTCTTGTAAATAAAATAATTCGTTATAAGAATAATTTTTGGAATAAGTTGCAAAACCTAATAATGAAAACATTAAAGTTACAGTTTCTTGTGGATAGATAAAATTATAATGTTTAAAAAGCCAATAAGGTAATGTTAAAATTAGATAAACTTGTGGATAAGATTTTTTTAACCGATCATGCTTATTTGAAATCCAAATAATAATGTGATTAAAAAATGAAATATTAGATAAATCATGTGTATCATCATAGATTCTGTTATGTTGAAGATTAAATAATAAAGAAGTATCATTTCTATTATAATATTGAGAGTGGTCAATCAACAAATTAGTCTTAGACAAAAATTTTTCTGTAAATCTTTGACTTATATTATATTCTTCCAACTTTATTAATACCAAAGCAATTTGTTCAGTTTTTAATATAAGGCTGTAAATGTCGCCTCTCTTAAGCATTGACAGGCCATGATTATAACAAGAATCAAGTAATTTATTGATTTTATCCATATTTTTTTGTTTAATTAATTCATGACATAAATCACTTCCATATAATTTTAATAATACTAGGTTTTCCCAATCTAATATCATTCCGCTCAGAGTTGGTGGTGGTAGGATCTCAGACTCAAAATTGTAATTCTTTTTAAATAAAGTAAGAAGATTAATTATAGCATGTTTTGGTGATTTTAGTTCAAATTTATCGCTCCAACAATAAATTAATTTTATTTCAAAATCAATAAAAAGTTCTTTTAAATTTATTGTATAGATCTCTATGCTAGTCTCTTTGCTAGAATGAAAAACCAACAATATGTCACCATTTTTGAGCACTTTTTTTTCAAAAATACTATCATAATCTAAATAAAAACTTTCTTCTTTATATTTTTCTTTGCCAGATTCATTTTGGGCTTTTAACTATATTTTCCAGTGTTTCTCATTTGTTCTGTCTGTTTTTGTTATTTTATATTCAATAATCCAAGTAAATGGCTCTCTACTGAATAATTTTTGTTCATATTTTTGTTCATTTGGGTAATTCTGAATTAAAAATTGGTCTGATTCGTACTCTTCATCATTATACTTATCCAAAGTCTCTTGTATAGATTCGTAAATTTCATTATTATACTTATCCAAAATCTCTTGTACAAATTGCATAATTTCTTTTATATTGAAATAAGTATATGTATCACCGTAATAACGCTCTTTACACTCTAAATAATTTTTCTAAAAGTCATTTTGAGACAATTTTTGAATTGACAAATAATTATTGTCAATTTTTATTATACAATCAGAGATAACATTATAATCAATAATTTTAATAGGACCGATTGATTTCTTATTAAATGCGAAACGATAAATATCATGCAAGACATAAGTATCAGGAGAATTGTCGAGAGAGTGTGTGCGCGGATTCAGGATATAAGAATTATGACTTTTCGTTTCGTGATGCAGGCCAGAAAAAAACAAACGTCCTTTTTCTCCTAATCCAATAAATCAGAAGTTATGCAATTCTTCACCAAAAATTCCTAAATTTGTTAATTTTAATTAAATTAGACCATGTAATCATTGGTACAAAATGTTATATCGGATAGCATCAATATTGGGCAGATGAAAAATAACAAAATCACTTTCATTGGAGTTAAAATCATTTGTGTTGCTTAACAGCACGTGATTTGATAGAAACTTTTTGGTTATTTTTCGCCAGTCCAACATTGTATCCAATGTTGTATACTTAATATTTATAAATAATTTTACATAAAACTACATACTATTAGCTATCATCATACCAGATTTTGTTAAATAAACGCAGACCACGTATCCGCAGACTGCATATTCGGCACTTCTGTCCCTTTTTATTTTATCACTACCTATTGCTAACGGGTGGTGCTCATTTCACCGACAATCACTTCACTGACAGCTTATTTCACCGACAATTAATTCACCGACAAGTTCATTTCACCGACAATTAATTCGCCGACAGCTCATTTCA